GAAAGCAGACACGCAAGAAGTGGTATTTGCGCTCCATTGTACATTGCGTAGAAAAGATGGGAAAAAACCCCGATCTGGTGTAATTGGTGTCGAGGAAAAGGAGGAATTGGTAGTTGCGAAGTAGATGTGGATGATCCGCTGAACTGTTGTACAGAAATCACAGTACGTACAGTCACAACTTCGCCAGTGTGCTGAGATGGCATATGCAGTGAAGGGAGGGTGTTATTGAGAACTTTAGGAAGAGACCTCAATGCTCTGTGAGAAGAAAGATGCGTGCGACAGCGTCAAAGCGGCGATGTCAAGCAGGGGTTTATTGTGGCATGCACCCGTCAGACATTAAGCGGCGGCTGGCTGAGGCTTGTTGGTCCAGAAATCTAAACTGGCAACAGTGTCATAGCCTCGGTCATCTTCATAGGCGTAGATAATCTACCAAAAACAGTCAGCGCTTGATCAGTGATAAAAGACCGCAGAGAAAACACCCGGGAATGTAAAAAATAGAAGTAACATACCTCACGAGTGGAACTGTGTAACATGCGAATATTCTTGCCGGTCATAAGGTGCGTCAATTCACTTGTTTCAACGTGCCGAATTTCAACGAAATTGGGTTCGAACGCCAGGATGTAAGGGTAGGACAGCGCGAATGAGTTCGGGTTGCCCTCCCAGGCGATCCTCCAGTCCGGACGGGCTCGCCACCCGTTGCGGTTGACGAAGAATGAGAAATCACTATAGTTGAGGAGGAACTCGCCATTCATACGTTCAATATGGATCGGCTTGACATTCTCCTTCCGTGCCACGAAATCAAGGGACGTGTCGGCCTGGTCAAGGAGAGACTGCGTTTCCGTTGTTTCTAGACTGACCACTTCAAAGCCACGCGCACAACCAACACACAGAGTAGAACGCAGGAAATGGATGGAAGAAGACTCGGCAGGGATATAGTATTCCTGAGTGAAAGTGTTAGTGTGAAGCGAACCACAAAGATATAAAAGAAAATACAAACCTTGAATGGCTTAAGAGTATCCTGGCCGCCCTGGAACATTTTGCTGACAGCAGACTTCTTCTTTCCCTTTGCCAGATTGTCCATCGGCTCGTAGACCTTAATCGTACTTGATAGAGCTGATGTTTTGACTGAACAAACAAGATGACGACCGAGACCAATACCAGCCTTGAAAAAGTTGGCATGGCCCTGAATTTTCTTGGGCCGCTTTGCCATGCTGTTCTGACCCTCGACGTAATCGAGAGCATCCATTGGATAAGAGGAAAGCGTTTTGTTTGCCAGAACCAACAGCAGCTGGTACTCTTCTAGAGTGTCGATTTGCGTGACTTGGGTAGCCTCTAGAACCTTTCTTGGTTTTGCTGTTTTGTCTTTGGGCCAGCGTTCAGAGACAAATATACCATTATCAGTCCCGTAAACCAACTTCCGGCCTCCATCTGGTAGCAGTTAGCGAGTGAGACTTGAGCTGAATAAGGGAATTTTCACTTACCAATCGGAACAAGGCAGTTAATCCGGTTGACCGCTGCGAAGAAGCCCTCGCTCAGGATCGTTTTGTTGTAGAAATTGCTGTTTCGTTCCCATAGTTTGTGTTGTTGTTGCTCGACTGCTTCGATAAACTTTCGCCGGGTGGCGGCGTTTGTGGCATAGAGAGTTTGTTCGTAACCACCTTTGCCGAGATGTCGGAACGTGATAGGCAGTCCACCATCCTTGGCAGGAGGAGGATTATTGATGACAGTCTTGTTGGACAGGAGACTGGACGAAGGTCTTTTGGTAATACCTAGTCGTGGGATAACCTCTTCCATCTGAGCGATTACCAACAGTTCCAAAGGAATTGGTTTCCTGTAAACTCGAGATTCCTCACGTTTATTCACCACTTTGACGCGAACAAGAAGGACCGCATGGTCAAAGAGATACGCAGTAACATCGGAGCTGTCGGCCGTAGTTTTCTTGAATGACATCTTCATGAGCATTTGCCGGTTTTCTTCTGTAAGCTTCAAATCAACATAGTCCGCAGAGTTGAACTTCAGCGCAGCGTTCAGTTGGACCAAGTTGAAATGGTTTTCCGCTTTTCCACTTTCGGCATTAACGCGCGAAAGGAAGTCCTTGATCAGCTTGATGGCCTTCGGAATATCTTCCTTGTCAGGGTTGCCATCTGCACTGTTTTTGTAAACACCTTCAAGCAAAAGCGGGTATCTTGCAAGACGAGTTGTAGGCTTCGTCAAGTAACCGTTCAGTTCCAGCTTCCGAGATTCCTTGAGACGTTCCGTGTCTTCAACAAATTTGGCAAAGGCTGGGTTTGATGCTTTTTCCTTCTCAAACTCGTACTTTCCGTAGAGCTGGTTGGCACCATATTTGATGAAAGGATCGAAATTAGGAACATGTTGACAGAAGATGTCGCCAATTGTTTGAACGACTTGACTCTCCTTTTGTCGGGCATTCAGGGCTTCACACAGAGCGCTGTTGACCTTGAGAACTTCCAAACAATTGCCGAACACAGTTCGGATGAACTTCTCACGCCGGTGTTCCGGAATTGGGGAGTGAGTGGTGGTTCCAGCAGCGCGCAATGGTCGCATCCAGAAATCCCGCAAATATTCAAGATCCTTGACAAAATCACGCTCCGTGTACATGAGCTCGAAGATAACCTCCTGTCGTTTCTTCTCGTGATCATCAACGGAGTCCGAGACCTCCTTGGGAACCGTGCTAATCCATAGCTTTTGGTTATCATTGTCGTCATCATCGTCAGGTGGCAGAGCAGTTTTGGATTCCGATGTTCCCAGTACCGGCTGAGGTTTCAGATTCAACCTGGCTTGCTGCTCGAGCCGTCGCGGACAAGCAATAGAATAGCAGAGTGTGTCCCGGTTGCAAGTGGGAGAATAACATTCAGTCAGTAGAGTAAAGACTCCATTAACCTCGGTTATCGACTTGTCTTCTCCCATTGTTTCCTTAAACTGATAGACCTCTCCGGGGGCATCTCGAAGACGGTGGTCGTATGTGACATCGTGGAAGAACTTTTGAGCATCCAGCGCACGGCCGAGCAAAAGAGCGAGGTTGCGGTCGTTGGTTCTGATAATGGAGCCAATCAAGTCCACCGAATCAGTACCCGAGAACGCATTCTGATACGACAGACCGTTCTTCTGTCGTTCGCCGAGTGAGATCTTCTCCCTGAAAATCTCAGCGACAAGAGAAAGCAATGCAGGATATACCACCGGAACTTTCCGTTGCGAATCTCTAGAAACAAGGGTAACTTGGCCGGAGGAGACCTGTGTGGCTTGGCTTTGAACGCTCATCGTTCGATCGGGCGCAACAGTGGATGCCATAGACATGGTCCGAGATCTCTGCGATGCATCACTTGGCTGACGAGATGCAACATACTCATCGGGGCTGGCCTGCATTATTGAGTCTTGTCTTATTGGAATCTGCTGATCGTGACTTGACGGAGGTCTGCGGTGTGGGATTGACCTTCCGCTGCTCATGATATGTGGATCCCGATCTGATGACCACGAAGTCATAGACATAGCTCGTTCGTTCGTATGCTTTTCTGGGACGGGGCGACCGAGCTGTGTGACCTGGGCCCCAGCATGATACTGTTCACGGCGAGAGGCAGTGGCAGAGGTGTGATTGAAGTTGCTTGGTGGAATCTGATAAGGCGGCCCGCTTAGTTTTGCCATTGATCTTGACCGAGTTGAATCAGAATTCAGCGCAGGAGGAGGCATAGGGCGATTGAAGTCCCTAGGATCTGGGTACTGCGGAGCAGGGCTTGGTCTTGACTCGAGACGTTGAGGTCGAGGATAGGCAGCAAAGCGTTGTTGGGTATTTGGGTTGGGTCGAGGAGGCTGATATGTAGACATTGTTGCCGAGGCCCCTGGATTGTAGGCCTGGTATTGCCCAGATGGTGGTGGTGGAGGATATCCATTTGGTGGTGCCGATGGCGGTCCGTGTCCATTTGGCATATGCCGTGTTGGCGGCGGCGGCGGTCTCTGAAATTGGGGTTGTGCGACATGCGACGACATGGTATGAGCGCGAGCCTGGGAGAATTGCGGAGTCTGCGAATTCATGGTATGGGAGCGTCCTGCGGGTGGTGCGCCTCCAAAAATGTCAGAATATGCTGCATCCCGCTGCGTGGACGAGGCGGGTCCGTGAGGCCGGTAATTCCGGCTACGCTGGCCCCCCAAATCCGCCATTTTCACAGATTATCAGCGAGAGAGGACGAGTAGCGGTGGTTTAAGAAGATACGCAAGTTATCTATTCCAGGAGCAGGAGGCGAAGAAGGCGAAAGAGGTATCGGGGTTGATCGTGGAGAGCGTTCAGGGCGTCGCAAGAGGTCTGTTCAAGATCGTAGACAACGGGAGAAACGATAGAGGTGGAACGAAAGAAAAAAAATTCCGTAGGCAATGACCTCGAAAGAAATGATAGATTGTCTCAAAGCACTGATGGGACTCAATATTCCATAACTCCCCTCAGATTGGATGGGGAATTTAAGAGGCAATATCAAAACGGTATTAATGGAATAGCGCCAGGAGCCGTGAGCGCAACAAATTCAAGGCTCCTTTCGATTTCATGCCCTCAGCATCCTCCCAGATTTGAGGTGAGTGATAAAGGTAGGAGAGTTGTTGAAGGTGGGGGTGATAGTTGGATGTTGAAAATGCAGCAATAAACTGGGGNGGGGGGGGGGGGGGGGGGGGAGAGGGACCCAGGAGAACGAGGATGGTGAAGGTGACGGCGATGCCGGTATGGTAATTTCAATACAAAGACTCCTAATATGCGAGCAATAGGGCGTTCAGAATCGATATCTGAAATACAACAGGTACGGTATCGTCACCGCCCAGGACCAGACAATGGCGTGGACTACGGCGGGCGAAGTGGCCATGTGGAACACCAAAGCCCCGAAACCTCCAGCTATCAACAGCCCGAACTTCTCCCTGCCCTTGATCTTGTATCAAACAGGTCTCATTTTCTTCTTTTATTTCTCCTGTGTGATTTGCAAGATTAGTCTTGCTCCAACGTCACGATGGCAGACAGCGAGCTTGCGCCCAAGTTCGCTCCGTTCTTCTCCTTCGTGAGTTCGAGGTCCCAAGAACATTGGCGTTGGTAGACTAACAAGCTTCCTATACTAGGCTGGCATTGCCGCTGCAGTGAGTTGAACTCATTATAACCTTTATCTGATTCGATAGTACGCTAACAGTTCCCTGCAGATGATCTTCGGGTGTACGTGAAATACCTCGCGTGGATGGAGCTAGATTTCTAGGTTCTAGGTATTCGGACAAACAGCTTACAATCTCACAGCGGCAGGAGCAGCTTATGGCACAGCAAAGTCCGGCATTGGAATTGCAGGTGTGGGAACCTACAGGGCTGATCTCATCATGAAGGTAAGACGCCATTTATTCGGGATGACTGGTTCCGCGATGGACAGGACGGTAGCTAACTGAGTTTATTGCTGCAGTCACTCATTCCCGTTGTTATGTCCGGTATTATTGCAGTTTACGGTCTCGTTATCGCCGTGCTCATTGCGCAAGCAGTGGGCCCAACAACCAATATGAGCTTGTACACGTACGTTTTGAGAGATGGGCGGATATGGAGCTTGACACAAGCTAATATTGCATAGAGGCTTCATGCATCTTGCAGCTGGAATGTCAGTTGGTCTTACGGGTGTGGCTGCTGGTTATACGATTGGAGTCGTGGGCGATGCAGTAAGGAACCTATATGCGCAGCAACGTGAGAGGACTATTGAAGCCCTAACATCTACTCTAGGGAGTTCGAGCATACATGCAACAGTCTCGGGTCTACGTGGGAATGATTCTCATCCTGATTTTTGGCGAAGTTCTTGGGCTTTATGGGTATGTTTCTGAGTTAGATCCTTCAGATTACTCTTACTAACATGGTCAGCTTGATTGTTGGTTTGATTCTAAACTCGAAGTCTTGAGCACCGAGTGATTTCATACGACAACTTATTCCACCACACTTTTTTTCTCGTTCCGCTATCGGCCATCCTGAGCTTGAAGAGACACTATTTAATAGATGTGTACCAAAAACTTAACCAGGACAGATAATGGCCATGGGACTGGATCGAGATATGGACTGACTGGCTTCTGAATCGAATACATTCTTATTTCTGGTGTACAATAAAAGGATCTTATACAAATCTTTTATATCATTCGGGTCAAATCAAAGCTAAGAGCTTACTCAGTCCGGTTTATCACCGTAGTTTCTTCCCGTTCAGCCCCGCCCCCCATAGCAAATACGTCAGAGCCAGAACTTCCATTCTTACAACTCTTTGCCCCGCGATTTTTCTGAAACCCCAGGCTCTTTCAAATTCCTCGAACCCTCAATGTTCTTTATGATCTGAAACCCGGAGTCAAGCTGTGTTTCCGATTGGTGGCGCGCTAACGGGGTCTCCATACACTTTTTTTTCTCTTACCGCGACATGATCTTTGACCATTCTAATGGCAACCGGAGCAGTACAACATTCGCCAAATGAGGCGCCAGGAACTATGGTCTTTCCTAAGCTAAATGCCAACCTGCATCACAGGGAAAAGCAACTCGTCGAGTCCCTCCGCCCTTCTCCGCGATCCTCGAACCCTTTTCTCATCACCGAGCGCCAGGATGAGAAGCAACTGTGCATCTCGTCGAGGAGTCTGCATGTGAGCGATTTTATGCTCGTCAAGACTCTTGGAACCGGTCAGCGCGTGGCCTAACCTATATTTCTCTTACATGAGTCGCGTCTGACTGTTTATATTTTTTTTCATCGTATAGGCACTTTCGCTCGAGTGTGGCTCGCAAGGTTAAAGGACCAAAAGGACAAGGACAAAGTTTATGCGTTGAAAATTCTGCGAAAGGCGGACGGTAAGCGCCACTTTGTCTAACGTTGCGCGTGGCGAGGAATAACTCGTGCTGATTGCGACTGGAAAGTGATTAAACTCAAGCAAGTGGAACATGTGCGCAACGAGCGCAAGGCCCTCGCAGCGGTCATTGACCACCCTTTCATCACCACCTTGATCGCGTCGTTCTCGGATGAGAAGTGCCTGTACATGCTGGTATGGCAACCTTTTTTGCGGAACTCGGATTATGTTTTGGATGATCACAACATGCTGACAAAGTGTTAGCTGGACTATTGTCCTGGAGGTGAAATATTCACGTATCTCCGACGACAACGACGCTTTAGCGAAGAAGTCTCGACATTCTATGCCGCCGAAATAACAATGACAATTGAGTTTCTGCACGACGTCCATGGAGTTGCTTACCGAGATCTCAAACCGGAGAATATCATGTTGGATGCCGAGGGTCACCTCAAACTTGTTGACTTCGGGTTTGCAAAGCAAGTCGATAATCGCGAGACATACACATTATGTGGCACACCTGAATACCTAGCTCCAGAGGTCATTCAAAACAGCGGCCATGGACTTGCAGTGGACTGGTGGGCTCTTGGAATCTTGATCTACGAATTCTTGATCGGACAGCCTCCCTTCTGGGACCAGAACCCTATGCGCATCTACGAGCAGATCATCGAAGGCCGTATACGTTTCCCACCGAATATGCCGGCCGCAGCACAGAACATCGTCTCTCTACTCTGTAAAACAAATCCATCAGAGCGACTGGGCCACATCTCTGGTGGCTCGACTCGAGTCAAGTCCCATCCCTTCTTTCAAAATGTCATTTGGGATGATTTGTTTTATCGCCGCGTAAAGGGACCTATAATTCCCCGCCTATCCCACCCCGCGGACACGGGTAACTTTGAAGAATACCCGGATCCCCCCGACCTCAGAAACTCGAACATTTACACGGAAGATCTGAAGAAGAAATACGAGCCGTTGTTCAGTGACTTCTGAAAGATTTCTTTGCCATTACAGCCCATCAAGCTCTCACCGAACCTTCGTTCTTCCGACATTATCAGAAGACTGCCATCTCTCTCTAACCCCACGGGACCCCCACAGACGCGTCCCCGGTGAGCGAATGCTCCTCCACCCAGAGGTCGCGCCCGCGGTCATTCGCGATCATTCGCACCAATCTTACCTTTTTGCTTTCAGATGCAGTCCCATGACAGCCCTTGGCATGCATGTCTGTGGCAAATCCGATCTCAGGGGATATCACACCCCTCGCCATGCTATTCAGCCGGTCTCACCGCCACTATTTGACCTTCCCGCACACCCACACTCGTGGACAACAGTATGAAGACCATCCCGGGCAGTATTGTCTTTCTCTCTCTCTCTTTTTTTTTGACATACACTTCCCTTTGCAGAATCTTTGTTTTGATCATGACTATGGAGATTGATCCTCTGGAGTTCATACTCTTGCCTAAGAGCCCACAGCAACCTAATAAGGTTTCTGAGCGCGATCTTGTGAACGGGGAGCGTTTCAATACCATTTTCTTTTGACTCTCTTTTCGTCGTAAAGTCATCAATATAACTTAATATTCATGGGTGGCGGTTCACGTGTTACATAGATGGTTGCTTATTGCATATATTCGGGATTTCGATATTGTCCACTCCACCTATATGTAGGTGTTTTTATTTTGAACATGTGGTCTCATTGCTAGCGCAAAATTCGTGTCACATCACAGACACATTCAATAGATTATGTCACTTGCTATTTTATACATGAGGTTTATTACAATGATGCCATCGTTTTCACATTGATAATCACCCTTGAGACCTGAGGATTTGATTAGAAGATGAGAGCGTTTAGGAAGAGAGAAAACCCTAGGTAGGCCCGCCCAGGATGGACGTACCTAGTCATATGATAATCGCAAAATTTATTGATAGAAGATAAAAATCACAATTTAGGTTGTGCTTGAGATTGTTGATTTTCTTATTTAGGGAAAAACCCGAGTTCGGTAGAAACATATAGAAGCTTTCGATGGCAAACTGATCGCTGGGCATTCAAGCATACTTCAATCCAATTTCACAACACATCACAATCTATCTAGCCCATTAATGATACATATGTAGGACTTAGATCTTTCGTATAATATATAGTACTATATTCGATCCTGGTCTTTCCTAGGTCGCTTTGCACAAGCGGCCATCCTCACTCACGGTCCACTCGTCAGACCCGACAGCAGTTCTGGCGTAGAAGATATCATTCGGATCATACTTGGCCTTGATCTTGCGCAGGGTATCATAGTTGGTACCATAGAACACCTGCTTGAAGTTGGGCTGTTGGAAGTCACCCTGCCAAAATGATAAGCATACGAAAGGAAAATAGAGCTAGACATCAGTTTACATACCTCATTCATATAAGCACCAGAGTTGGGAGAAAGCGCAGTGAGCTTAGGAATGAAATCCTCAGTCATTTGGCGCTGACGCTCCAACATGAGAGCATCGTTATCCCACTCCCAGGGGGTGGTCAAAGTAGTATCAATCAGGGCCTCGCGCCAAGCAGGGAGGACCGCGTTGTAGACATCTCCAGACACCTTCTGAGAGACGTTCAAGCCGACACCGATGAAGGTGCCGCCCGCCTCGGTGATCTCACGGTAGGCAGTCAGCAGGGCGGAGTTGTTGTTCTGAACGACCGATCTCGGGACCAACCAGCCTCCATACTGGGCAGTGCCAACCTCGATGACACCTTGCATATCCTGGAACTGGCTGTAGTAGCTCTCGTATTGCTTGGCAACCGTGGTGTACTTGATGCCGAGATTGTCAAGGCTGTCAGTGAAGGGCTTGAGGAGCGTCACCAAGTCAGCAACAGGGATGTTAGGACCGGTGATTGGAGCAATAGAGAAGCTGGTGTTGGTAAAGTACCAGACGCTCATAGCACCTGCGTCGACGATAGCGGGCAGCGCGGCGTGGAAGGTCTGGACGGTGCTGTAGAAGGTATCTTGAGAGATACCGTCATTGGTGTAGGTCAGGTTCAGGCCAGAGACGGGAGTTCCGGGGTGAGCCTTCGAGGTCAGGGACCAGACGACACCGTAAGTGCCAGCACCACCGCCGCTAAGAGCCCAGAAGATATCGGAGTACTCATTGTCACGGGTAGCAGTGATGAAGTTACCTTGGCCATCAATGACCTCCCATTTCAGGACCTGATCGGCGGCCAGGCCGTAGCGGGAGCCGAGTGCAGAGTGACCACCACCTTGGGTGTAGCCACCGGCAAGACCGACGGTGGGACATTCACCGCCAACGACCTGGTAGCCGGTCTTCTCGGCAAGCTCGTAGGCTTCGTAACCCTGAATTCCAGCGCCCATGGTAATGGCCTTTCCGGAGTAGTGCGAATCACTGTAGGAGTCGATTGACAGTCCCTTCAGGTGGTGAGTCCAGATTGCAAGGGCTCCAGCACCAGTGGATCGGCCATTGTAGTCGTGGCCGGTGTTACGGATGACAAGACGGATGTTGTAATTGGTTGCAAATTTGACAGCTGTAGAAATCTGAGCCGGGGTGGTGACATTCACGCTGTAGCGAACATAGTTTCCCAGTGTGCAGGGCTTTGAGACGGGGTGGAATGGATCGCAAACACCCTCGGCAAAGAATGGAGCCATAACCGAGGAAGACGAATCATAGCTGTCAAGAGATATTGTCAGTACCTAATACAAGTCGTTGTTTCTACATGTTAATCCACATACTGCTCCTCGGGAAGTAGCCATCCATCCTTCAGGACGGCACAGGTCTCAGAATTGTAGTTCGGGGCATGGCAAGGTGCGCCAAGAGGCACGGTCTTCACTAGTCGGCCATCGATGGTGCCGTTGAACTGCGACCACACATCCTCCGTGGGCCAAGTAGTGTCACCAGGGAAGCTGCGGCATGCTGCGGAGGCTGAAACCTGAGGCAGAGCAGCCAACAACGAAGCAACGAAGGATACGCGAAAAAACATGATGGCTTGGCTTGGCTTCATGCAAGTGTAACAGCTTCTCTTAAATATTCAGACCATGCACGAAAAAGACAAGAAGACAGGGGGGGTTATTCGCTTTTAGAACGTGGAAGAATCCACACTATTGACGCCGGCAATATACGGCAATATATCTTGCAGCTAATGCAACCTCCGGCCCTGTTAGCTCTGGAGAATAATCTCTTAGAACGTAAAGTGCTCCGGGACTTATTGGCCCGGACCAGCCACACACATGGTGCCATTTCTCCACCTTGGGATATTCTGGAGGCTTTAATTTTTCCGTAAAGTCTAACGTGAGACATTCCAATCTCGGAAGGTTTGCGCGGTTTAAGGTGAGTCGCTTCCCGAGGTCCGCCGGTATTCCATGGTATCCGTAGAGGTTCCATGGTTGAAGCAGATGGCTTGACGTGATTCCAAGGTTCAAAGGCTGTTCTATACCTATTCAGGTATATTTAGGTCGATCACCTCTTTTTGGGGCTACTCATAGATCTACCTTTTTTTTGCATTCGATGTTCTAAGATATTGAGATATTGTTCATCTTTCTTAATCTAGATCCCACAATCCCGTAAAATTCATACGAAAAAAACCATCTTCCAGTGGCTTTCCTCATATATACTCCCTACAAAGTAAGACAAGCCACCAAAAAGCCCTGACAAATTCTAATTCGTACTTATTATCCCTGTCTTTTTTCGTCAGTCTAGCGCTGCAACTTAATTACACCGGTATAAGGCCCCCCCCCCCAGCCGCCCCACCCGAATCATAAATTTGGTCCTGCACAGGGTGCCCGTGGACCCCGTAGTACTCCGTATTTTGTAATCATTATGAATAAGAATACCACATCCCCTTTCGGAGGTTGCCAACTTTTCTGACCTGTGATAATGATAAAGTCATGGGCTGGGTATATAACCTCCACGAGACCGATCCAAACAGCGAGATCTCTCGAGTGATCGCGATCTGTTTAGTGTGCTCAATTGTAGCTTTCTTTTCCGTATGCCTGCGGTTTTATGTGCGAATAAGCAACAAGCGTTTTCCATGGATTGACGACTATGCGGCACTGGTGAGCTCACTGTTGACGTTGGCATATGCGGGAATTGCTGTAGCTCGTGAGTCGATTCATTGATCAGCGAAGGTTGACTGCAGAACTAACGGAATGGTTATTTTAGAGACACGATGGGGCCAAGGACTCAGTGCAGCCTATTTTCCAAAGGAGAATGTTATTCCTTTTAGCAGGGTGCGTATCGCAAGACCAACATTGTGCGAACTCGAGCCTGACACTAATTTTTGGACTATAGATCCAATACACCGGCGGCCCGGTCTACTGTCTCGCCGTCCTCGGCTTCAAAGTCGCCTTGTTAGCCTCCTACCTGCGCATTGCGGGGATCATCAAGCAATATCGCAAAATCATCATTGCCGCCATCATCGTGTGTGTTGTTAACCAATTGATCTTTGCCATTATCATATCAGTCTCCTGCATACCGGTCAGCTCCTCCTTCTCTAGCGCGCATTGATCGCGGAAACTGGGGTATCTGACATCAAACAGGTCGCAAAACAATGGGATACTTCAATTAAGGGGAATTGTATCAATGCCATACCGTTCTACTTTGCCCTTGGAGGCACAAGCATTGTGTTAGACTTGGTAATCATAGCACTACCTCTACCAGTCCTTTGGAAACTCCAGCTCCGCCTCAAACAAAAAGCCCTCCTGGTCTGCCTGTTTGCCCTGGGTTTCTTCGTGACCGTGATCCAGATCATCCGCATCCTCACCGTCTGGGACTTGAAAACCTACACCGACAGCAAGAAAATTGTGATCTGGTCGTGTGTGGAGATCAGCCTGGGTGTAAGTTGGATTTTGCTATTTCTTTCATGTTCACTCTTCAAGTCTAAGGAAAACTAACGAAACAAAAATGGATAGGTTGTCATCGCCTGCATTCCCACGTACGGGCCTCTGTTCAAATCCTTCGCTTCCACTGTCACCTCATACCGAAACCGTGAGACTTCGCGTACTTATGCGCTTGACTCTGTTCGCCAAGGCACGGGGATGGGCACAGGGCTTGGGCGCAGCAAGAATGATTTCGAGCCTATATATGAATCCGAGGGGCACCAGGTTACTGATATTCGATCCGGGTCGCAAACGAATGATGGGAATAGCGAGGAGCATATATTATCGGATGCGGATAACTTGAAAGTGTATGTGACTTCGGAGTTCACAGTTAATTCTGGCGTTGCTCGTTGATTTGGTGTTGGTTTTGGCGCTATGGGACTTTGGAGATTGGGGCCTTTTAAGGAGAAATAGGAGTACATATATCTGATACCAATACATGTTTCCTCTGGGGCGTTCCGATTAGACATGCACAGTGTAAAATAGTCATATGTACTATATCCTATAGGTTCGTATCATAGATGTCCGGGCAAGAAAATGATAGATAAGATATCCCTTCATAGGCAATGGGAAATTTTCGCCAAGTTGCCTTCCTTTTGGTTATCACAGCAATGAGATTGAAGTCTATAAGCAGCTAGTATAGCTAGTAGCAACACATTTACCCAGCAAAAAAAAATGTAAACGAACAATGTATAGAACAATAAAAACAAAGTGGGGGAATCATATGAACAGGTATCATGAAACATGGAACGGGTTTAAAGCTTGCGCCTGGGTTCAGTCATATTCAAGGCACCGATGATGATAGTTCGATGCCGGAGATTTGAGAGTTTGTGACAGGAGTAGAGACAATCGGGAGATCTAGATGGGAGGCGTGGGGATGAAATCGGGGCAAAGATTGAGATGAACTGCAAGCAAAGGCCTGTAATAGGTCTCCGATACTATACAGTGTACAGTGTTGGAATAGAATAAGATAAGCTTTGGGCATTTCTCACAGCGATGGGTCTGTCTTCCATGTGCCTGGGGTCGAAATGTTAGTACCGTATACTATGTCCACATGAGACCAAATGAACTTGTCAAAAATAAAGACGTACCTCCGAAATTGTGCTTCACAAAAGCCATGGGATCATCCGTATCCCCCGCACCCATTTGCCCCACACCGGGACTGAAGCTGGTGATGGGCAGAACAACCACATCTCCAACTTTGCGATGTGTGGTCTGGTGGCTGAAGTCTTCGTACGTAATGTTCTTATCACCAGGCTGGATATTGAAGTATGCCGGGTTATTGAAGTAGCGGAAGATGGAATCCGTCCAGGCTCCAGGCCCTGTGAACTCCATAATAGTCTTATCCATCTTACCAACCTTCAGGATGCCTACCCTTTTCATTCGCAGAGCATGTTCGGTGATATAAGCCACCATGTCACGAAGAATCGGGTGCCCGGGTTTCGACACGAAGGTCCACTGGCAGAACTGAAGACGGCGCGAATACCAGTCATGCCAGTCATCGCGGTCAGGATCAGCCTCGATGCCGACAATGAATCCGATAGTTGATCGATCAAGTTCCTCGGGGAGCCACGTGTGCGCGGGTTTGAGTGCCGAAGTGTCGATATCGCTGTACACTCCCCCGCGCGCCAGAAGAACCAAGTACCGGAAGAAGTCCGCCTTCATGACGCCAAGCGGCAGCGAATCATATGCCTCAAATACTTCCGGAATTGACCCATATAGATACTTGATCAGGTGTTGCTGTGTCTCGTCGGGGATGACTTCATGCGTGAACCCGGGGTGCATCTCTGTCCAGCTGGCCTCGGGCCCACGAAGGTCTTCGTCAAACCAGAACGATCCCGGGTTGTATTTCCATGTTTGCCAGATATATGCGGGGAATTTGTTTTCGATTTCATAGGGGAATTGATACCGGAGACGTTCGCGGAGCGGTGCTGTCTGTGATGCGCCGAGGGGTAATTGGGCTCGACCTTGCGGTGGTGTTTTCCGTGCTGAATTTGCTTTCGCTTCATCCTCTTCTTGTGATATCTTCTTCACCGGTCTGTACCCAGGTGCCCCGGGAACTTCAGGATCTCGGAACGAGCGGAGGATGAGAACAAAAGTGACCACGCAGAGCAGCGCGAGAAGCACCTTGCGCGGGGTAATCATGACAGGCAATGGGGTTGTGTATTCGGAAAATGATTCGCTGGTTTTGCGACGGCTGTAGATTGGTTGAAAGATAGTAATCAAGGTCTCCGTGCTCTTGTATTCCGTGATCCGCAAGCTCGGGGAGTTTGAACAGTTTTGGTATGCGATTCGTTCGGCGGGTGTGACAGTCGAGCGATTCCAAATCCTAGGCTAAAGAAATCGAGAGGGTGACATATCGATATGCGGAAGTCTTGGATGTGACCTCGATGGTCGGAGATACAGTCAACCCAGAATCGAGATAGGAGGCGTAAAAATAACCTCCAGTAAGAATTGCCAGTCACCTAGTACCACAGAACAGCAAGGAAAGATTGAATCCGAGAGCAGAGAGCAGGCCACGCTGTCTAAGCGGGTAATTTATCGCCTTGCTGGCTAATTTTGTTCGGCGTCCACGGTTCAAGAGGATTGCGTATGCCGGAAGCAGCTTGTAGCCTGAGTGGGGCCACTCACGTGGTCTTGGGTGAAATTGTAACTTAAAACTATGACCATTTTTAATATTGTTCGTTCTTCATCTATTCTTTGTTCTGTCTTCAATGTTTTGTTTTCTTCCTGCCAAATGTACTGACATTATTAGCAAGTGATGGTCCTGCTACATAAATTACCTAACTTTTTCGGAGTACCCCCACATGAGGTCTCCCTTCCAAGCTTCTGTAATCGGCAATGATCATCCCGAGATAAATGCTTCTTATAACATAAGTCTGACGATGTCGACAACTTTTATTCCAAGAACTACACTGCATACAGCTACAATATACTAAAATCAATTAGTTTCGGTTCTTACATGTCGGGGTGGTTTAAGCTGATCCACTGGAAGCTCGTAGTGATATAGGAATGTAATATGGAACCGTAGAGCCGCCTTTCACCGAAACACACATCGGTTATTCCTTGGGGCAGCTTACTATCATTGGCAAAGTGCCTTAAACAAGTACTAAAGAATTACGTAGAAAGGGGCATTTACTGCTACTAGCCGTTGAGACTATCACGAAAATACTTGTTCTTTTGATAGGAGACTATGTGTAGATTAAAAAAAATATGTACATGTATTCTTGGAATTTCGGCTCTTGCTATGTGTTTTGTCTCTATTTTTCAGCTTGAAGATGTAAGAAGGAAACCGGTCAAAAGGCACCAAAATAGTAGACGCTGGAGAAATGCAGATGCGAAGAATATTCTTGGGATGCCGATGAGGAGCTAATTAGTTTCTTCTCATTATACTTGTATAGACATTAAAGAAATATTTATCCTTATTGGCAATATAGTACGGCCCCAAAATATCTCTCTAGTAGACAACAATCTTGGCTTCTTCGTACGCCATACATATTCTATAACGTAAGATTCAAGAATAGCCGGCTACATTAGCGGCCTTGTATGTCTTTTTATGTTGTAGTTGGTATTTTTGAATGTCGTTTTGGATGTAGTAAAAAAATCATACTTTGTGCAAGAGACTTTTCTATGTCTAACTTTTGATAGAGTCTGAGAGTTATAGGGCGACTTATCTCATATTTTAGGCAAACATCTGGCTCGTGACGGCCCCAAAAAACAGCTTCGGTCGTATGTATGGTACCTAGGTGTGCATCAAGATAATTATCTTTGTTGGGCACTATTATTCCTTCCTCTTGACCACTATGTTCGGATCAGACTTACGTATGCCGTGGGACTTGTTCTACAATGCGTTCGCCAAACATCTGGATCTAGCATCGCGTCAGGACGCTGCCGATTGTCTAAAGTACGCCGCCATGCAAATGAAGGATTATTACGACGGCATGTATCAACCCAAGCACTTCGCGGTCGGGGACAAAGTCCTCCTACGCGTCGGCCGCGGCTACAACATCACCGTGAACGACGCCGTATCCCGCAAGCTGGGCCAGCAGTACGCTGGTTTGTTCACTATTGTCAAACGCGGCGGCCGCCGCCTCGCATATGGGCTACAGCTGCCGCCCACGTGGAAGATACACCCAGTAATCAGCGTCCAAAATCTGGAGCCGGCCCCGTCTCTAGACCCATTTGGTCGAGAACCGGCCGAACCAGAACCGACGTACGACGAACGCTTCCCCGACGACGACGATCGTCATGACGTCGCCGCCGTGCTAGACGTATGCGTCCGTCACCTGGATCGTTACAGAACGCAGAGAAAAGAATACTTGATTCAATGGCAGGGAGAGCCCCGCGAACAGGCACAATGGGTATTCAGTCTGCTTTTGCCTGCGGCGACCCTTGTAGCAGAAATAACCTGCAACACCATCAATAGTACTCTCTCCGCTTCATTCCTATGAGGTCAGATCTAACTTTAAAATATCTACTCCTAGGAGGTGTGGACCTTTTCTTGCAAGATAAAACAATTTTTATAAGAAACAAGATAGGATACGAGAGCAAAATCATCTTGCCGCTCCTCCCAAACGCATGATCGCACATAGATTGAGGACTACCTGCTTCCTATTGGACTCACTGCCAAGGTCATACCAGGGAGTTGCCGTCACAGGAATGAACGAGCTTAGCGAGTCCAAAGCGAAATTCCGAGTATACTTATGGCTAATATCGAACTGGAGAAAGCAAATGTAGTGCTGCTTAGTATGAATGACAATAACGCTCTCAAGAGATTTGGAATCAGTAAGCCTAGCCAGCAGGGCCTCATATGTTATCTGGGCCAGACATTCGTCCGAGATGGTCGGTTTCCCCTCCTTAAGCCATTAGAATTTCCTCTTGGCTTCTAAAATTGTTACCCGATCATTTCTGAGTCTAAAAGCGCCCTTAGCGTTCCGGATACGTAGGTAAAGGCCTCTATTATCAGTGGCCTTTATCAAGCCTACCGAAGGTAGATGTTTGATGGCTCGTAACTTGATATCCCGAAAGTCGATAACAGCCGCTATTCTGTCCTGGTCTTGGGGTGACCCAAAATACAGAACATGTCGAATGACGTATGATATAAGGCGCAGAGTGTCCTCCTCGACTGTAACTCGGAGTTGGTGTTCCACATTATCGATATGACTAGTTGACGAAGCACCGTGAGAGCTATCAGCCTGTGGACTGCTAGAAGCAAATTGAATTTCCCCAGAGCGGACGAATGATGGATCTTGATTGGGCTGTATTTTACGCGCCGGCCTTGCTCAAATTCCAGCGTTATTATCGCCGTCGGATTCAGTATCCATTGGAGAACTATAACCCGCATTGGAATCGTCGGAACGGTTGCCGTCGTCGGAATTACTGGAGTACATTGGATGATGTGTTCTCTGAGGGTCACAGTCGCCCTTGAATGCCGCCAAAGGGCATACAATGGATTTGATTTCTCTCTGGTTGCCACGATCGGTTCGCTCAGCCTACGAATTGCATTTCGACTGGGACAAATTTGTGGTGGAAAGATTATGTCCTTGAATATGACATGTAGCAGTACAAAAACAGCATGGTCCACCGAATCAGCCAGGTGCTGTGTTCAAATACTAGAGGAAATACAGCGAATAACATGAATGTTGAAAATTAAGCGAGAAAGTGCTGCAATGAGACAGACTCAAAATCAAGTTGGAGAAATAAAGCGATGCGATTATTAGAGCTAAGCATAGTCAAAACTCAGGACTACTGAAGTATAAGACAGGGACCGCGCCACCCACAATGCTTGGCACACATAGGAGCTTTCTTATCCCAAAATAACTCCTTTTGTAAGTCTCGACCTAGGAGAAATTCCCTTGGCAAAATCTGCAAAATCTGCCAGAGGCTAGCAATTGGTCCCAAATTGTTTCCCAAAAATTAAATTCTAATGTGCGACAACAAATTCCCAACCCCAATGGCACATGTAAATATGGGCATACAGTAACCACCGGTTGGCTACGACACTAGGGCTCTTAACCAGCATGTGTCAGGGTTCATATCTTTTACTTCATTCTCGCTCTCATGAAAAATCTAAAATCCCTCATGCTGAACCCTTTGTTATACACAAAGAGGAAATAACTGTGCTGCCTAACCAGAGTGGTTTATGTCAGATATACTCCGTAAATCTGAGCGAATCAAGGTCGCCTTAGAACTTAGAACATTGGATTTCGGTTTCATTGATGTTCCCACACTTCCAGGACTAATCTACAAATAGAAAGTGATCATCGACTCGTTGGTTTTGCGGGGATTCTCATTGGACTGATCCGTGCTTATTGACACCCACAAAAGCTTGGGGTGCTAGATATAGGTATGTTTCCCTTTTTGTCTTTCCAGTGTCGTCTTATAGCAACATCAAATACTGCGGATGGCGTGCTTTGAAAAGTAAGGGTCTATGGTACAATTCCTGGGTGTGGTTGTGTCTTAGCGTGAGTAGTCTTTATCTCTTTATAAGGGTCTGACTCGGATTCTTCCATGGTTGAATTATAGCCAATCAGTTGTGTCTCGGCTTATTATCCCCGTTTCACATCAGTTGGGCTATTTATCACTTACATGTAATAAAACCCCGTAGACTCGCCATTTATCTCTCTTTCTCTCTCATTATTCAATCCCCAAAATCATTGCAGTGGAAAATCATTCACTATGGAATAGCCCGACCTTCCTGCGCTTACCCAGAGCCTCAACCACACCCGACTAACCAAGAATCCTGATTCAAGCCAACGGTGTACTTTCTGCATAAGAAATCCCAACACCAACCCGATCTCATTTCGTCGGAATTACCAAATAAAAATAAAAATGGCGACTGGTATCTCAGTTGTACCTGAGAAATATGCGGCTCACTCTACCGTCCAGACCATCGCAGTTGATGAAATCTCAGGCGGAGGCAGTATTCAATCTTCCTTGGAAACAACTGCGGGAGTCAATGCAGAAAAGAAGCGCTTCTTTACCCGACCATGGGGACGACGCCAGATTGGGATACTCTGTGTGCTGGGGTTCTTGGGACTGGCATTGACAGCACTTGTCATTGCCCTCCCCATTTATTTCACTAAGATCTCCGGCTTTGCGAAAGACACTGATGACTATTGGAAACAACCTCAGCCACATGAAGATCATAGCTACCACCTTGAAGAGAACCGGCCGAACTTTGCCCTCCACAACTTCCCGGACCCGGGACTTATTCAACACAATGGCACATGGTATGCCTACGGAACCAACCCCAAGAAAAGGAACCCCGACAGTATCCATGTGCCTGTTGCTACATCGACTGATTTTGTCAACTGGACTCTTCACGAGGGTTATGACACGATGCCGACTCTTGGCGGTTGGGAGAAGAAGGTCAATCATTGGGCCCCGGATGTGATTCAGCGAGTAAGTGTACTCATGAACATCATTTCATTCGGTCTCTTATACTCACATATAAACTTCTAGGACGACGGCAAGTTCGTTATGTATTATTCCGGAGAAGCCAAGAATTATGGCAGCCACCATTGTGTGGGAGTCGCTGTATCAAACGGCACGAGCCCACTAGGCCCTTACATTCCCGAAGATACTCCACTAGCCTGTCCCCACAAGCACGGCGGTGCCATCGACCCATCACCGTTCAGAGACACCGACGGCACGCTGTACGTAGTCTACAAGGGCGACGGAAACAGCGTTGGACATGGCGGAAACTGCAACAACAGCAAGAAGCCACTTGTATCTGTTCCAATTCTTCTGCAGGAGTTGAAGAGCGATGGCATCACACCCGTCGGAGAGCCGGTGAAAATCCTCGATATTGACGATACTGATGGTCCCCTTGTTGAGGCTCCTGATATCTTGCTCACCGAGGACGGTACATACTATTTGTTCTTTTCTTCACATTGCTATATCTCGCTGGGATATAATGTGAAATATGCACATTCGAAATCCCTCAAGGGCCCGTATGCCAGGGCTGATCGGCCTTTGCTGCAGACTGGTGATTGGGGTCTCGAGGCGCCTGGTGGTGCGACGGTTTCGACTGATGGCAGCAAGATTGTTTTCCATGCCAATTGCGGTCGGTTTCGATGTATGTGGTCTGCTGCTATTGATATTCGATCTAATAACAATACGATTGTTATGTCGAAGCTCGTGGTTGGCCAAGAGTCGAATTCTACGAAATCTACGGGAAGCTCGTGAGTCAACAGCCGGATTGTGATATCTTGTAGCAACGAAGATTTGCTATGATATATTTTTCATGTTTTTCATGTTTTAGACTTTGATTGCATCTAGCGCTGGGCGTTTTGGATTTCCCCATTTGGGAGTCATTTTTTGATACTCACATAGCGGTTTGTTATGAGAATCCGCTAGGGACCTTAGATATGAGCAGCTTTTTTTGATCTACCAAATGCAAAATTGGGCATAGTTCCTACCTCTTTGCCTTGTTTATAGCTACCTAAGCTCTCGAGCACTTAGTCATTATAGTTGAATTCTTACACTTCTCTTTCGCAGCACGAACTCACCATGATCCACAGAAAACAAGGGTACAGATTAACCCGCGTTGTTGGTATTCTGGAGTCGCTAATTAATTGCATATACATGATAAGGAGCTCTTACCTTGCCTGACAAAAGTTGCAAATAATATCCGCCGTATGTTGTGCACGGGTACATTGCATACTTCAACCTTTAAATCTCCACCAATCAACGATGTCGGTGATGACGCGACTATTTGGTGCCTGAGGTGTCCACATATTCTTCACCCGATAGCTTTCAACCGGGGAAGCTTTCTTTCCTGACTCACACAGATCTTAGGCTTTTATAATGCAGTCATTTCGAGGTGCCGCTCGAGCTGCTTCACGCACAATTCGAACCCAGCCATGGCGACAAGCCAACTCCCCCGTGAAGTCCGCGGGACCGCATCGGACTTTATCGGCGCAATGGAAGATCGCACGCCCATTGCATACCGTGTCGCCGCGACAGTCAGCATCAGTCACCGTGGAGTCAACTGAGAGAGACTCGTCCAATCCAGCCATGTCATTCCCCTGCCTCGACGCCCAAGAAGCAAAGTCAGCCCAGCTCTCCGCTCGGTCGCTGCGATCCGGACCCGAACCTTCATACACCACCGGGCGACACGAATCATACCACTGTGAACAGCCACTTCTGCTCGACTGGGGTGGTGTGCTCACGGAATTTGATGTTGCCTACGAAACATGGGGGCAATTGAACGGCGACAAGAGCAATGCTATCCTCTTGCACACCGGCTTGTCCGCCTCAAGCCACGCCCACAGCACTGCGTCCAACCCAAAGCCCGGGTGGTGGGAGAAATTCATTGGACCCGGACTACCACTGGACACCGATAAATATCACATTATTTGCACCAACGTTATCGGAGGATGTTACGGCAGCACAGGCCCGTCTTCCCTCGACCCGTCCGACGGAAAGCGGTACGCAACCCGCTTCCCGATCCTGACTTTGGACGACATGGTGCGCGCTCAGTTCCGGCTCCTTGACGGCTTAGGAATTAAGAAACTCGCTGCCTCAGTCGGATCCAGCATGGGCGGTATGCAGAGTCTCGCAGCAGGCGTCCTCTTCCCAGAGCGGGTCAACAAGATTGTCAGCATCAGCGGTTGCGCCCGCAGCCACCCTTACAGTATAGCGATGCGACACACGCAGCGACAGGTGCTGATGATGGACCCCAACTGGGCCCGTGGGTTCTACTACGATGGAATTCCACCCCACTCTGGTATGAAGCTAGCGCGCGAGATTGCAACCGTGACATACCGTAGCGGGCCGGAATGGGAGATGCGATTTGGTCGCCAGCGCGCAGACCCCAGCAAGCAGCCTGCTCTGTGTCCCGACTTCCTTATTGAGACGTACCTAGATCATGCCGGTGAGAAGTTTTGCCTCGAGTACGACCCTAACAGTCTTCTTTATGTCTCCAAGGCCATGGACTTGTTCGATCTCGGCCATGCTCATCAGACGGCCACCTTGAAACGCCGCGCAGAGTCCGAGGATCGTATTGCGCATGGCGGTGATGCGCCCAATACCTCAGACCCCTCTTGCAGTCTGACCCTTCCAGACAAGCCCTATGAGGAGCAGCCTGGATCAACCTCCAATGCGACGCCACTGGACGAGTCCGTTTCTCCTGATCCAGTGGACGGTCCTCCCCGGGATCTTGTTGCCGGCCTCGCGCCTCTTAAGGACCACCCTGTGCTTGTCATGGGTGTTGCAAGTGACATTCTCTTCCCGGCGTGGCAGCAGCGGGAGATCGCCGAGACACTCCGTGCTGGAGGCAACACCAAGGTTGAGCACATCGAGCTTGGTGATGACTTGTCGCTTTTCGGTCATGACACTTTCTTGTTAGATCTCAAGAACATCGGTGGCGCATTGGGCAAGTTCCTCCGCTAGTCGCGTGGCGTGTGGTGTCCGAGGGGATAGAAAATAATATAAAATCTGTACATTTGTCGTTAAGCGTGCGACTTTTGGCATTAAGCAAGCGTTTTACATTTACGAAATGACATACCTCTTCTCTGTTTTTATTCGCAGTTCTGAGGATCGATGGATACCCCCCAGCTAGTCGATAGGTGGCTATGGTTTGGAAAAGGAACAGAAATGTCAACACACTACTCAGTTTGATTCTATTAAGGTACGATATGATATGAACATGGTGAAGTGTACAAAAAGAAAAGGAAACTCGCCCTCAGGTTGCTCTCAGTTTTCATAACTGACTTCCAGCTGTCTACACGGTCCACAGGCACGAAGTGCCAGATTGGAGCCGTCGTCAAGCAGATGCCTGCAGAATTGGCTTATATTCGTCTCTAGGGCGAACTCATCACAGGGCGAGAAGGAGAAAAGAACAGAATGACACAACCCACGGCCTCATAATACCATCATGCCCACAAGACAACCGAAGAGAACAAATGTAAAATCTGGACCGAGAGCAAAAGCCAGGATATTTGAGAGAAAAAAAGTCCATCAAATCTAGGTGACGGGCTAGGAGAACCTAGAACGTTTTGTAGAAAGAGCCCACCCACATAGCCCACAAAACCACAAGACAAAGCAAAGCTTGGAAGCTAGAGTCTTTGATGAAGGTCCTTCCAAAAATCATCGAGATAAACCAGGAAATCCCAGAATCTCATTGATAGTCAGGGGGAAAAGCCACTGTTGGCAAATGCCAACACCCTTGAGACCTCACTTTGATGAATGTTCATTTAAAAAAGAGCCTGGGGGAGTAACTAAAGTAGGAGAAAGAAGAAGGAAAGAGTGAAAGTGGAGGACAGGTATTTATAATTTGGGGATTGGGGCAGTAGGCAGAGAGTTCACAAAGGGAAGGTGCGTGTATTCGTTTGCAGGCAACATCGAAACACAGCTTTCCTTGAATAAATTCATCGATATCATTTGATACACGTGAACATATCCCAGTGCGTCACATCTTGAACAGCTCTTCTCAACAAGGGGAACAAACATCCACATGTGACATCTACCATTTGACCATAATGATCGGAAGGTAGGCTTTTAAATATCTTTCTTGACAAGGCAATAGCCTATCATTTGAAACTTGCTAGAGGCTATGCAGTTAACTCTTCGGATTAGCAGGTATTGTAGGTATTGCAGGCATTGCAGGCGTGTGTTGGTAGCTCCATGGAATAGACAGTGTTGCTGTTGGCTGTTGTCCACATGGACTCGGAATTGGAGTCATTGAGGATGCAGCATACAGCTATACTCCTTTACCAAAGGTTAGAAAACAAACCGGGCTTTGTGGATACTTCATTGGGAATATCAAATTGACAAGAAGCACAGATGTTGTTTTTAAATCCAGGGGGTTAAAGGTTCTTCCGTTCCGGTGCTATACTGCTTGCTGCCTGAGGCACTCGATATCTTTAATGCTTGTCTACTGCATGGTCTCTCTATGATGTTTAGTTAGGAAGACAGCCCAGGAACTCATTGTAAAATTGTGTTTCTACAAATTCCGTTCAAAATGTATTTCTTTGATCTGAATCTGCAGATGCTTGGGCGTTAATGGACCTTTCAGGTCCGATCCACCGCGACTATGACACACAAGGGACAAGCTGCAGGGCGCGTTATGCAAAGGAATTTGTTGCCACTGCTACAGCAAAATTATCCCCCCGGAAATCCCAAGACCTACACCCAATAACTTATATCAATGCCTTGCAATGTAAGCAAGCTGAGCCGCCGTTCATTCTTCATGATGGGTTCAAAGCTAGTCAATATATGAATATTCAACCTTTCTCCCTAGCACATGTAACAAAATGATTGTTCACTTGTCACCTTGGAGGAGCACCGTGGCTGCTGGCTGAATTACCCGATTCAGACATAAAGAGCGCCGCTAAGGTGTGGATCTATTCCCCACCAGTCCCCGCACTCGATCTCATACTACCTAATTATCCGAGTACAAAAGGCTATGAAGTACGCCTGTTTCCCACATTTTTCTGCGAAATTCTCTTCAAGTCGATGCACATTTACCTTCAGCGAGCATGGCACAGTCAAAGGAATGGGAAAAGATGCTCCGCGGCGAGCTGTACTGGGCATGGGATGAGGATCTGCAGGCAAACCGAACAAGGTGTAGACAGGCCTGTGATGATTTCAATGCCGCCAGAGCTGTAACAAGGCGTCGAAAGGTAGAGCTGTGGAGAAAGTAAGTTTGAGAGATATGATAAGAAGGGTTGTTTATTTACCCAGGTGACCTCTGTGCTGACCATACTTCCCTCTAGTATTGTCTGCGACACCCGCCCAATGCCACCATTGAACCCAGATCCGAAAGAAGACGAGGCACTTTTCGAAGACACTGATCCCTTTGTAGATGGGCCGATTTCTGTGGATCACGGTCTGAATTTCAAGGTTGGCAAAGGCACCTTTCTCAACTTTAACCTTCTCGTTCTTGACACATGTCTGGTCACCATCGGGGAACGGGTACTGTTTGGTCCGAATGTTTGCATCTATGGCGCGACACACCCCATAGATCCGGCTGTTCGACAAGGGTTGAAAGGACCGGAATGTGGAAAGGAAGTGCATATTGAAGACGATGTATGGGTTGGTGGTAGTGTGATCGTGCTAGCGGGTGTGCGAATCGGAAAGGGGAGCACAGTTGGAGCTGGCTCAGTGGTGACAAAGGTCAGCAGATCGAGATTTGATATCTTTAGTTTCCCGCCGAGAGAAGCCAGACTGACTTTTGCAGGACGTTCCTCCCTTCCACTTTGTCGCAGGCAATCCCGCCCGAGTCATTCGTCGGATCGAAACGAGCATGAACCCTGAAGAGCAACAATGAGTGTTTTTTGGGTGTAGGAATTGTTGACTTGTGCAGCTGACACGAGAAATTTTTTGGTATCTTTTTCCAATAGAATCTACTCTTAAGCGTCGAATGAATTTTGGTGTTCGTACTGGGACTCAAGATAAAATTACAACAGCAGGGTATGCACATAGTAACACAGCGGCAGACAATGTGACCATAGAATGGGGGGATTGGATTTATAAGGCTGACCCCCCCGGGCTATTTACCGAGTTGTAAGATCGCAAATTTGACCTCTATTGACGCGGGGAATTCGAAATCGCGCCGATGCTCCCCCTCCAACGCAATTTTTCACAAGAGCATTTCACCAGCCAATATGGAACAAGTGGAAAGCCACAGTGAGCTCATACATCATGAAGCCGTGAATGAGAGCACTTCCGGCTCCCACCCTGAAGCAACAAACAGCTTCACAGTATCCGATGATGATATTCTGCGCGCCCAGGGCCACGAAGCAGTATTCAACCGATCGTTCTCTATTGTTGCATCCCTCGGTTTTGCATTTAAGTATGTTGCCCTCCTATTCTATTTCGCACCTATTATGCTGAAATTTCTAGTATCACGAATGCCTGGGTGGGCGCACTAAGCAACGTCGGACAGAATTTCAGATATGGAGGGTCCCAAGTGGCTCTCTTTTCTGTTATCATTGCTTGCTTTGTGCAATGGATCATAACCCTAGGGCTATCCGAGCTGGCTTCGGCATTTCCTTCATCTGGAGTAAGTCATGAATAGCGCGCTTGCTCATTAAGGCACATGAGCTGAATTGCAGGTGTCATGTCATAGGGCCAATACCACTTTGTCTACATAATTGCCCCCCAGAAGAGCAAGAGATTTGCTGCCTTTGTGACAGGCTGGATGTCTATACTCGGATGGTGGATGATAACATGCTCCGGCTTGTCTCTTGTGGCTAATGCAGCCCTGGGGCTCGGTCAATTTCTACATCCAGACTTCGAGATCAAACAATGGCATGAATACTGCGTGTATCTTGCTACTATTATTGTGACAAGTTAGAGACTGGATTGTTAAGTTGTTTCCCAAGTTATCTATCATTGCTGACTCGGATTATCTTGCATAGTGACACCCCTTCTCTTATGTCCCAAGCAAATACCGCTCATCACATCATGGTCGCTATATCTCGCATTGTCCGGATTCGTTATTTGGTTTGTAACCGCTCTTGTGATGCGTCAACATACAAATACCAGATCGGATGTCATCAGATCTGGCTAAGGCACAAGTGGATAGAGCAATGGGACTGCCTGGCTTCTCGGAATCATCAACTCGATGTATTGCTTTGGTGCCAGCGACGGGGCGATCCATATCGCCGAAGAAATGCAATCACCGAGTCATCGACTCCCACAGATCATGTCAGCCAAGACCTGTCTCCTTGTCCGTCTCTAATGCCCAATTTTGTTACCAGACCCGCTAATGAAGCACAGGAATATGACACTAGCCATTGGTCTGTGTACAGCAGTACCACTATTAGCAGTCTTGATAGTTGCCATGAGAGACATGGACCAAGCAATGAACGCCGGAATGCCAGCCGTGGAACTATTATACCAAGCAACAGGATCAACCAGGGTGACCGTGGCACTGAGCGTACTCTTGAAAATAATAGCATGCCTTCCTCCACAGTAGGTCACCTGTGGGCGTCTTGCATGGGCCTTCGCCAGAGATCGAGGTACTCCATTTCCGGTCTCATATACCTTGTCAGCACCTCGGCTTTCAACTCCATCATTACCTCTGCCGTTACACTATTGAACTTGAGTTACGCCATTCCTCAGGGTATTGCGCAATGTCTGCCGAAGCGGCCGCTCGATCTTGGTCGATGGGGATATATCTGTAATGTTTTTGCGCCGCTGTGGATTATTGTGTTGAGTGTCATGGTCTGTTTCCCGCCTGATCTTCCAGTTACCCTGGGCTCGATGAACTATAGTGCACCTGTTTTGGTAGCATTGTATCTTATTATTCTTGTTTTCTGGGGTTTGATAGGTGACGAGTTCAAGGGGCCCGATTGGGAGATTTTGAACCTCAAGAACGAGACGCCAAGCGACGCTTCGACAGACATAGCTGGGCCGAACATAGACCAGTGATCTGGACAACCTCCTTGGATTTGTGGCACCTGGGGAGACACTGACAATGGTGTGTCGGATTAAACGTGTGGGGTTGTCTAGCAGGTCAAGCCACACCCCATGATTTCTATGTAGGTAGCCCTAGAGGGTAGGGTTAGTTACGTGATCGAACTTTGAAATCTGAGATATAGGCCATTTATCGCGATAAAGACCGTATTATACGAGACTATATATATATATCCTATCTTATTGCTACGCATTGCCAACTAGTCATAGTTATGTTAGGTGGGTTCAGGGATACTTGCCTTAATACTCCTCGTTCGTCCAACGTCAACGATGTGTTCTCTCAACCGTACTGTTGCCTAACATACCTTACTACAGTATAGTCCTCCTACTTCCATCAGAAAAGCGAAAAAACAAGAAAAGCAAAGGATAGGGAATCTCCCATTTTGAAACCTGTGATGCCAGAAAGAAGCCCGAAATTTTTATTGTTTCATAGCGATGTTCAGAATCCCAGACTCATTCGTACTCCGGAGTGGGGGTCGGATCCGGGAGGGGAACCCATGATCGGGTCTGTGCTACGAGATCTGGACGATCTTTAAGCAGGTCCTGATATTGCCGAATACGTGCCCGTAATCCGGTGGACTCAAGCTGAGCGATGGTTAGGACGGAGATCAATGACTTGACCAGGAAATTTCCGGTACAACTTCTCGAAATTTTCAGATTTTGGACCATCCTCTATGCGATTGGACAGTCGCAAAGGAGAAGGCGTAGCAATGGGGGGTTCGGGAGATGGAATCAATCGGGATTGGAGTGACATCGGGGGCTTTGCTTCGTTTGTCAGAGGGGGTTCTCCGAGCCCATATCTGACGCCGATGACAGAAACCAAGGGTACTCAAACTCTTACTCAGAACCTTTTCCGCCTTCGCGGAGTTCCTCCACTGTGCGGGATTCTTGGGCGGATTTAGGTCCCTAGAAGCCACAGTGAAGTGAAGGTAAGGGTCGTTGATGTTGGGGTGCGAGTGTTTAAAATAATGGTGATGCCAGACCAGTGGGTGATGTACGCATGAAGCAGACGAAAGACTCAGAGATGAGCAGCAAAATATATACAAACAAAGACGTTTAAAAGACGTTCAAGAAGACAACCAAAAAGATTAACCAAAAAGATATCAGAAGGCCGCAAATGCGGCCGACTATTCTTGTGTGTTATATTTTGATACAGTAGCATAAATGGATAGTATAAGTGGTGCATTTCTTTTTTCGCGACCGTATTAAGCACCATGAATACATTTATGATTATATATGGGTCATTGAGGTGTTCATCTCCGAAAACTCGACTTGTCCCCGATAATTTTGCAAGCCGGGATCTCAGGATTTCATTAGCAGATTGAGAGTTATCTGCAGCTATCCATGGTCCACTGTATCTCTTGAATTATGCTCTGTGGTTGTACAAGCTGCACATTGTGACTGCAATGCAGACGAACAGATCTGCTGACACGAGAAAGCCTCAAAAGCTCTCTTTGCCAGTCCTCATTCATCTCGCGCCATCTATCGAGACATTTTCGAAACAGAGCTCGTTCTTGTTCTGTTCCATTGCCAGCGGCCACTCCAAAGTCATACATTTTCTGGAAATCTTTAGGTGTATCCGCAATGATGACACTGACCGGATAATCCTTGAGAAGTAGCTTTTCAAGTTGATTCTTGTGGTCCAATGCCCGTCTGTCATTTGGCACCGCCTGCAACTCAGCAGCCTCGGTGGCTTGATGTCGGGGATCGGCCTGCTCGTCTTGGAAGGCTTTCCACTCCTCCTCAGATAGGACATGGGACGTCGCAAGACCGGTGGTTTCAATAAAATCTTGGTCACCAAGGACTGGAGAGAAAACGTCCCAACCCCACGCACCACTGTCAAAGAAACGTTCAGTATTGCAATCCACGAACACCATGCCCACGACATCATTGGGCCTGAGTTCCAGGAACTCGCGAGAAGTGTAGCCTCCCCACGAGTGAGCCACAATGATAAATGGAGGCTCAATACCGGCGTTCCTTAGGAGAGTATCAAGCTCTGCTGCGACTGAAGCTGCAGATATGCTTGGTGGTGTTTGGTTGGGACCTTCACTCCTACCCATCCCTGAACGATCATAGTTCAACCAACGAGCAAATGGAGCCACAAGCTTTCGCACTACAATCCACTCATCGATCGTGCTGCCAACGCCTTGCATGAGAACGATGATAGGCTTTCCAGGCTTGCGATCTGGCCCCGAAACGGACAGATAGAGGTTATGGGAACCGACGGAGACAAGCCCATCCTTATCACCTTTGTCCCAGTCAATATTAGAAATTGGTTGCATTGTGAACTGGATGTGGATTCGAGTTGAGCAAGCAATGGATTGACGTCGAGTTGTTGGATAACGGGGAAGTGAAAGATGTTCAAGCCCCCGCTTTCTAAACCCCCTCCCTAGAAAATTCTACATTTACAATGACTCATTAGATGCTAGTTCCCAAAACGTACTAGAACACAGTAGTAAGCTAACGTCATAAGGATGACCGTGGCTTAGGCTACAGCCTAAGAACCCGAGTAGGAGTGTCTGAGGATTCTACTGTACAGATGTGAGCCACAAGAGCTTTCCGAAATTCTTGCCTCCGCTGGGCACGTTTGTCTAGCTCAGTGGAATAAAAAATAACTGATACTTTTTCTCTGGGCTAAATAGGATCTTTATAGGATCATGTCGGATCAGTACAAGGTTTTCTCGGCTATAGTAAGGTGTAATAGCCAAATCGGACTTGGCTCCTTGGAGTTTATACAAGAGCAAAACAAAAGGCTAGTTGAAGAAATGGAACAATTTGTATTGATGTGTTATCAAAGGTCAAGAGCTATTAGAAATCGGAGATCGGATAAAAAAAGGCACTATTTATTGATTCGGGGAAGAAGTCTCAAGGTCCCCAATCACAGATTGGTAATAGATATGCCCTCAGATTGAAAACTACCATGTTTTGTCACTCGTCACCGGCGTGCTTGTCGTTTCCTTGAAAGGCGTACAGACGAAGCACATATACAGGGCCTCGGAGTATGTAACTGCATTTTCTCATCACAGGGCTATTAAATAAGATCTGAAGCATAGGTCTCATGATGAATATGGTATTCGGAAGGGATAGGGCGATTGGCGAAGAAAACCGAAGAGAATGTGAGATTTTGGATATGTACAGCAATTCTGAGGGATATTAGTTGAGCACATTCAAATATTGATGCGATGCCAAAGAATACATAGCAAGAAATATCAAAGGTCCGAGTCTCTTCAGATCTCTGTTCATTGCTCAATCACACACTGGTGGGCCGATGTCTTCTTCCACTCCGACGTATCAGGGGGATGAAGTCCATGGCCCGACGGGTTTATTCGACCGACATGTCATGAGAAGCTCTTGTGAGGTTTATCGTCATCAGGACTTGGCGCATGATATTCCATTGAATCTGCGTTGTAGCCAGAGACTAGAGGACCAATGCTGAAAAAGACATACCTCTTGTAATGAATAGCGAAGAAGTAAGCCCCCCCCCTTCCCCCCCCCC